CTCCTAATTCTTAGATTACATGACAGTTTCTGGTCTTGCATAATTATTCAGTTTCTGGAACTCTACCTCTCAAAACACTTCTGCCTCACCTATTACAATTAAGCTATTGTTTTGCTTAGGAAAGTGGTCTGACTTAATTCAGGTTTGTGCCTCAGAGTAAACTGAAATGATTAATAACTCTGCGTGTGCTTAATGATGTGAGCCTTGCAGCCACTAAAGCACCTGTCTCAGTATGCAAGCAGCCAGGGTTCATGATTGTGCATAGCTGGAGATTCACATAACAAAAAAGGCAATTAGACAATGCTAGGATTTAAAGGAAACTAACAATGCAGGGAAATTGCCAGGGAAGGATTAGTTATCTCTTGCCTGATAAAAGCAGGTATCAATGGAAAACTCTAAACTGTCCTTCCATAGTGTCTCTGGATAGAAAGTTTAATGCCTAATGAAGACTGCTAGGGCTAAGCTCAGAAAAAAAAAAAAAAAGACCTGAAGATTTGAAAATGTGATTGAATTAACATTTCTGCTACCCTTTCAAATCACTCCTGAATCTTCAAATTGCTGGTAGTTCTGGCTGTGACTCTGATGGACAGCCTGTTGTGTGCAAGCAGAAAATTCTCCATTATTTTGGCATCTCCTTTGTGGACTGAAAATCTGAATCATTTGAATTTTGAAGGAGTTACATTAATAGTATTGCCTTATTGTGGGTCTTAGTGTGTGTACTCTTTCCTGGGTCTGTTCTGTAAGACGCTGGACATACTTCGTAACTTGAGCTGATCTTTCTGGTGGGACAGATTCTCTGCGTATGCAGTAATCGGTGTTGATGTTTGCTCCATGAGCTGCTTCTCAGTGCAGCTTTCTGCATTGGTTGGTTATTTTGATCAGTCAGGAGAGCGATGGGCTGGCTGGCTGATTGCTGAGGTGTTCCTCCTGGCTGGGTGACAGGCTTGCTGGCTGACCTCAGCCAACTGGCTTTAACTCCAGTGGAGGACAGCGGCTAATATTTTCCAAGGCGTCTAGGCGATTTAGGAGCCCACGGCTCACCCCCAAGGGATTTGATGCATTTGGAAAATGTTACCCTATTAAGCTCACCCCAAAGGGATATAGCATGGGCTAATTTATGTTTGTAAGACAGCCTGGGGTCTTGGAATCCTGTGATGTGAGTGTCTTGCACTCTCTTCTTCGTATAGAGGCAAACAAGATCCATTCCTGTGGTTGTTTCATCAGACAGTCAGGCTGTACTGAATCTACATCTGCTGATAAGAAAGCAACTTGTAGATAAATCATACAGGCATGTCTCTGAAGCCTAGAAATAAGAACTTCTGGTTCCAATAACAAAAGCCTGGGCTGTCCATCTTAGGGAAGGCCATCTACTGCTCTGGTAGCTATCAACCCACTGCCCTTCCTCTGGCATTGCTAACTGTGGGCACAGCAAAAGGGTTCACAGGGCTGATAGGTTTGGTGAGGATGGCAACAGAAGTAGCAAAAAAGAGGCTTCCTTGGTGGCTGCATGCACCCAGCAGGCACCTGGTGGGATGAAGAGATTGTCTGTTCTTGAGTCACTATGGCTCTTCTCTTGGCTGGTGCCTTCAATGGCTGAAGAGAGGTAACGAGACATCTGCAATAAAGTTGGGAGAGGTGCACCATGGCCCCAGCGGTGGGGGAACACAGGGTTATAACAAGGGGGCTGAGATGTGCAAAGGAAAGTGTGCTTTAGGTACGTGTTCCTTCATGCTGATTGTATTTTTCAAATATCCTTATATTCTCCTGCTGCACAATAGGAATAGTGGCCATACCTGAGGCGACCAGCGTGTGTCTGTGGTGCTCCTTGTGCCATCTAACAGCTCTCCTGTCCTCACAGAATATAATTCATTTAAATTACTCTTGCTGAATTTTCTGCACGTGTCTTTTTCTGTCTTAAACTGGTCATTAGGAATGTTGTGGCTTGTGTGTAATTATACTTCACGAGTCCTTCAGTAAACCACGTGGCGGGCAAAAGTGTCTGTATAAGAGGCACAAGAAGAGGGGCTGAGTGTCTGCCTGAAGTGAATGAGAAGTGAGAGAGAAAGTAAAGGATTAAGGAGTAATTAAAGGATAGAGAGAACGATAAATAAGGAAGAAAGGAAGAGAGTGCAAGGAAGTTGCTGATGGGTTTTAAATTTTAATTTGAACTGTCATCTTCTTTTACACACTGAGGAATAAGAAGTTGGAGGGAGCCTTGGTTGCTATTATGCTTCCAAATTATAACCTAAGTGCTGCCTTGATTATACACCATTCTGATTGCTGTGGTCTAGTGATTAGAGCATAAAACTTGGAGACAAAAATATGCTGCTTTTCGTGACTGTAAAGGACTTGCTGGGTGGTTTTGAATGAGTTATTTCACTTCACTGCGCCTCATTTTCCTGATCTGCAAAATAGGGATATTAATGCCTATTTTTGTGAAGGCAGTCTGAGAAACTTAAATGGAAACTTCTGTATAAATGTCAAGTATCATTATTATTGTTCTTAAACTAATCCATTGTAGTCAACTGCTTTTATAGTTTTTATGAAAGCAAATACAATGGGAACTACACAGCTGGCTGCCTAACAATGTTGTTTTAATTAGAAGAAGACAAAAAGTGTCTGAAAAATGCAACAGTGGGTTGCCTCCTTTCATCAACAGAAAAAAAATAATAAAAAAAAAATAATTAAAAAAATCTCCTGGAACTGAACTATACCATACCAGGTAACCAAGTTACTCTGAAGTACATGACACACTGATCATACATAACAGGCTCAGATAATATTTTGTTACATGTTCGGTTCATTATTTGCCTGGCACAGTCAAAGATTTTTAGTTATTGTTGACTGAGTACATGTGAAAAAAATAATGAGTTTACTTCTTTGCTAGGATCTGGGAGATGAAGTTTCCTCCATCTGTGACTTTAAAATTCTAATTTTCAGTTGAACAATTTGCAATGTCTGGTTTATACACCTTTAGAAAAAGACAGTAAAACAAACACCAATGTTCCCTCTCCTTGGTGAGGTGAATATGACCCATCTTTTAACATAGTGCTGTTAGTACAAAGTAATTGAACTAAACTGGGAAAACCTGAGTCCCATTACTCTCCACATCTGCCTAAATCCTGTTTATCTGAAAGGTAATCCTGCCTCTGCCAGTTCACCCTGAGGGTGGATAGTCCCAGTGACCCAGCCCAGGGGCCCATGCAGAAGGCTTTGCCAGTAGGGCCCTGCTGTGTGGCAGGATGCTGTTAATCCGAGATGCTGATTATACTGGTAGAATTGAATGTTTTCCAATCTAGTTTATTCTTCTCCTGAAAAGAACAGGATTTTGCTGGTGTAACAGTATTTATTTGGTGATGAAAGCAGGGGATTTTTTTTTTTTTCAACACAGAGCAATGTTAGTCATAGAAAATGTGTCTTCATACATCTAAGTGATTTAGAAAAATCTGTTATGTGGTCTTGGCCTGAACATGACCCCAGAGTGAGTAACTTGTGACCTGTCTGTCTTCATCAGCATCAGTACCACTGCCTTCTAGGACAGCCCAATTAGGATAATTTTATGGTTGCTGTAGGAGGACATAGTATCAGTAAGAGAGGCTGATTGGAGCATCCTGGCTGTTAGTTTTTGGTCCCCAGAGACTGCATTGCAACGACTGCTTCTTCAACGTGCTTTCCTCCAACAGGCAGCACAAGCCCGTTTTCTTCAGGCTCATCTTCAGCCAGGTCCTCTTTATCTGTGAGCTTGTTCCCCCTAAAGCCAAGGCTGTTCAGGGACAGGTACGACATTATATGCTGAGTGTGATGGACAGAACAATATGACATCTGGATGCTGATGGCTCTGCAAGATGAAGGACATAGTGCTGGCATTAAAATAATTATGCCATAGCAGGAAAAGACTCAAATCTGTTTCCTGGGAAGCCAGGTCAAATCAGAAAAAAAGTTTTATGACATTAAAGAGCCAGTTTGGAATGGGACTTTTTTGGTGGTAGTTGTTAATGTTCTTCTTCTTATTATTATTATTATTAATTATCATTATTATAAATATATTTTTGAGGATACTTCAGAGGACTGATATTTTTTGCTTGTTCACAGTCCTGTAACTTGTACGAGGTCTAATGAGTGCATTACTACTCTGGGAGAGGGCAAACAATTCCTTTTTCTAAGAAAAATTTAACATCTTGGATATTTTTTTTCTTTTTATTCTGTTGGTGAAAAAGTCACACAATATATGACAGTAACATGACTTTTTTACTTAAAAAATAATGTAGTGTTGGATTTGCCTTCTGTCTGTGAATGCTTAGCATAAAACATTATCCTTGGGAATACTGGACTGCTCATCCTCTCAGTGAAGCTCAGAGAAGTTTTCTATTTGTGATAGCATTGGTAAGCAAGATTATTTTCAGGTTAAGTACAATAAAATTCTACCAGGTAGTGTGCTCTTCATCAGACAACATTTGTAAGAAAAATGCTGGAAAACATTCCTCTAGTTACACTATTAGGTAGTTTTTATTTTCTTTCTCAGTCAGAATAGTGAGTGTACACAAACCATGCCTGGCTCTACCCAGTTGCTAGCTGCAAATGAGATTTCTCTGTCTACTCTTGCATGTCTTTTTCAAGTGTAAGAAACAGATAAATCGATTTGATTTTGAAGCAAATGACCTCATTGCAATTTCACATCAGCAAAAAGCAGAGTATTCTGAGGAGATGAAAATGCAGGCAGTCAAAGGAGCCACAGAAAACTCTTCACCTTGAAGAGCTCAACAGACACATTAAAATAAGCTGACTGGACCTCAGTCCTGTGTCTCTTGGATTTGTCTTTGGGGAACTGAGGTCCACTATGTTTTTTTCTGACGGCAGCGTTAGATGCTTCCTTGTGCCTCTCCAGTGGTCTCTTGAGGTGGAAGGCCAAATTTTGCTTTGCCAAGACACAAGCCCAGTTGGACAGCTTTCTCCCAGTTCTCAGAAAACAAATTAAAGTGAATACAGACCGAGACAATGAATAAACTATGATGTAAAGTTTATATACAAGAATATAACATTTATCTGGAGTATTTACAAGGTTAATTAAAGCAATATTTTACAACTCTTTCTGGTTAACCACTAGGTATATTACAGTTAGGCTACAGATGGTTTAATTTGCAAAATAATAATAGAAAGTTGCGTTCAGATCAACCAGCTCCAAAATGTGTTCATTTTTCTTTTTCTGAGAGAGAAGGGCTCAGACTTGTGGAAAATGAAATGTGGGAATGGTTAATATGCCCTTACCAGTGCCTATGTGTCACACGCAAGAGTTGAAACATGACCTTTCTAGTGTTAATATAGATGGCAAGCCATGTCACCTTGGTGAAAGAGTCGTACCCACTGCAACAGGCCAGTCACACAGTGGCTGTCTTTTTCTGCATCTCCTACTTTTGCACAACAAACATGCACGTATACAGAGAAGCAGCAATATAAATGAACCAGCATTACCAAAATGAAGAGGGAAAAACCTCAGACCAAAGTCACTTTTGCAACCATGGAACAAAAAAAAAAAAAAAAAGCTTTAAGCGAGATACTTTAATACTTCTCAAAAATAGTCATGATTTTTTTTTTTTCATTACATTTTAACCTATGTACAAAACCAGAGGGCTCCCTCCCCTCTTGGAGACCGGTGACTGTGGCATCTCAAGGCTTGGAGGGGCTGAATCAGGAAGGTGCGGGAGGCCCAGAGAGCTCGGGACAGAAGTGGCCACTGGGGGTGGCCAGAGGCAAAGCCACTAACACTGCAGTTTGCGGATGCTGCGGGAGAACCGCTTGAAAGCCCGCTGCCCTTTCTGCCACCGCTTCAGCGAGGTGATCACCAGTTCCCCAGCTTGCTTTTGCCCCATCACCAAGTAGGGGACGTTGATGTCATTCATCTCGTCACAGGTACACTGGAGGCCACCTTTGAGCCAGAGCACAATCTTCCTCAGATCCCTTTCCGTCAGCCCATTCAGCTTGTAGATGGTTTTGCTCTTTGTTTCGGGGGTGATCTTGGTATCCCCATTGATGTAGGCAATCTCCTTCACTTTTATCTTCAAGGCTAATAGAGTGAGGGGAGGGGGAAGAGGGGAGAGGGAAAG